CTAATAAATACAGAAAATCGAAAGAAATAAATGTTTACTACTACTTTCATCACATTTTTTGACCGGGAACGCGCCCTCAGATCTTAAAAGTGGTCGAACGTTGAACAGAAACAGCTGATTTCCCCAGTCGCCTTGAATTTTGCAATTGATTTCAAAATCAAAGTGCAGTGGATCAAAACTTTATTAACAAAGTGCTATAGACGGGTGAGTGTGGTTTCAGCTGTACTGGCATTTTAAATACTCTTTACTCTTTAAAAGGCAAAGTCACACAATAAGGTAAAGTAACGTACTACAAACTAAATAATTAATTGACCATATGAACATACTGAAAACTCATATTCAATTATAAGACATAGTGAAAACGTTAATAATATTAAAAATACTAAATTGTAATAACCTAACATCCGAAAACAATTATTATCCTTATACAATTTTTTTAACAAATAAATAACACTTGTTAATATTTAAAATGTAAAAAAAGATCTTAATCATACACGTGTCTAGGTAAAAGTTTAGGTAAAAAGATCGGTTTACCAATTGTGGTTCACTACGTATTAAATACATAGTAAAAACTAGGTTAGTGACCAAATAATACGGTGGATCAAGATTCACTCTCGATAAACCTTTATTGGTCAGGAGCGGTTTGAAAAGGGGTTTAAATAACGATATGAAAATATTTTTCAACGTAAATATGCATTTTAATCACGTATTCGTATTCTATTAATTTTTCCCTATATCCCCTTAAAATTAATGACATTATGACTGAGTTACCCTGTATAGCCACAATTTTGGTGGCTAATATTTCATGCATCCCTATAATCTGTAACAAAATTGATATTAATAGTTATTTATATTTTTAAACAAATAAAACCGTTTGGTGCAGTAAATTTGTATTGAATTTTTTTCCCCTTACAATTAAATTCTCCCTCAGTCTGTTTCAAATTAGTTAATTAAAATTTAGACACCCTGTAGCACAGGAACATTTTGAAAATAGTCACAGCCGTTGTATTTTCTTTTGTTGATACTGATTTGTTGGCCAATCACGTTGAAAGTAATAGAGTTAAACATTTTATGAAATTAGCCATGATTAGCCCTCAGAAATGTCAGCTTCTGTGAAATTTTTATTAAAACATCACACATTTTGTATTTCCAGAGGCATTTTTTTAATTTTTCGTATTGTAACATCACTTGAAATTACAAACATGATAATCTTAAGTTTGTTTTAATAAAAATCGTTTAATTATTCAAACCCAAATTCGAAACATGTAAATATAATTTTTTATATGTAAGAAGAGCTGTTGTTGATATTTGGAATGTTTTCAACAGACTTATGTTTTTTAACATTTTCTTTACGTTTTTTTTAATATAATTTGAACAAAGCAAACCATTTCCATGGCTGATGATTTAACATACTTAATTTAAATGTTTTAAAAAGCCATACATATAGGGCGTCTCAAAAAAAAGTAATAGCGAAAATTCAAATTTAATAAGTCGAAATTTTCAGAATATGATAAATCTGAGAAAAGTACCATTATTATTATTATTATTTTGCTTTTTTCTCACTTAATTGTGTTGCTCATTAAAAATTTTGAATATTCCCAATATAGTCCAGGCGGTATCTGTTTTAAAAAGGGTAGACTTGGGTAAAACGCATATGATCGGAGATTTTTGCTTTAACGGCTTCTAAACAACATAAGAAATGATAATTTTTCTATGCAAATAAAAAAAAACGTGGGCTTAATTGTTATTGCAAAAAAGTATAAAAAAATAGCAAAAAAATTCATTTTTTTCTTGGATTTCTCGTCGACAACTTAGCAACTATTCATTTTAGACAAAAATGGAAGAGGAAAAAAAGTTTTGTAATTAAATTTTGATCAAGATAGAGTTAGTTGCAATTCGAAAAAATAATTATTGTTGTTGCAAAAATCGGAAAAATCATTTAAAAAATTGCAAAAAATGCTAGTTTATTTGTCAATTTTTTTCAGACACTTGAATAATACCTAGGATCTTCATACTTTTCCCAATTAAACTTCTTAGTGCATAGAATCATCACACCAAATTTCATCCAATTCGGTTCGATAGTTTTTACATAATAATTGTTTAATTTTTTTATTTTTTTTAAATTAAAAAATTTTCAAAATCAAATTTCTAAAAATCTAAAGCCTTTGAATACTTGAAAATTTCACCACAAAAAGAAGAGCTCTCAAGCTTTAAAATGCTTTTTGAAAAATTCAAATCGGACGATTAGGTGAGCCGTGGTGATTGTTTAAACATTTTCGCAATTTTCACGCTTATAAACAATTGCAATAATTTAATGTTTTTTCAAATTTTTTTTTATTTTAAAATATGGTTTGAAAGTACTCGGAAAGGCGAGTATTTAAAAAAAAACCTGATGATCCGCCCATTATTTTCGGAGTTATAGCCCGTTAAAGTTAACCCTTATTTACAGCAAAACTATAAGGGCTGTTTTTTGAACCAATAGGTTTGTTATTCCGAGTACTTTCCAGATATAAATTTTCAAAATTTGCAATCACGGGCGTCCCATTTAAAATGTCACTCAAAGATATTCAAGACCGCGTGAAATCAATGAGGTATCAGTGGTGGGGGGAGCAAACACACAGCTACTCCGATCTGAATTCTCGAGTTCAAAATTGCGACACTCGGAAAAATTTCACTTATCTCAGCGTCTAATGGACCAATTTCGATGATTTTTTTTTAAATCGATGTCTCGCAACTAAAAAATTCAATTATCATATTTTCAACTACATTTTATTATTAATTATTGGACTTTTGACATGCCGATAAACAGTTACTTTAAAAAATGATTAATTTATTATGTTTATTTATTTACTGTTAATTTTCACGACCAAAATTTTTGCATGTTGCACCATGTTGTTGGTATTAATTAAGTATCCAAAAGATTCTTATACTTTTTTTATAAATAAAAAATAAATTTTAGATAAATATTTTAAAAGTAAACGAAAAAATTAAAATTATAATTATTCACAATTTATGTGAGTAATAATTTTTGAAAGACTTTTAGAAATTTATCGTACAACTAAAAATTAATACCAATTTTCAGTTGTTTATTTAAATAATTATTGTTTAAACAATTTTATAATATTTAAACAAACTTACTAGTATTACCAAAAATTTGAAAAAAACATTAAATTATTGCAATTGTTTATAAGCGTGAAAATTGCGAAAATGTTTAAACAATCACCACGGCTCACCTAATCGTCCGATTTGAATTTTTCAAAAAGCATTTTAAAGCTTGAGAGCTCTTCTTTTTGTGGTGAAATTTTCAAGTATTCAAAGGCTTTAGATTTTTAGAAATTTGATTTTGAAAATTTTTTAATTTAAAAAAAAAAAAAAAAATTAAACAATTATTATGTAAAAACTATCGAACCGAATTGGATGAAATTTGGTGTGATGATTCTATGCACTAAGAAGTTTAATTGGGAAAAGTATGAAGATCCTAGGTATTATTCAAGTGTCTGAAAAAAATTGACAAATAAACTAGCATTTTTTGCAATTTTTTAAATGATTTTTCCGATTTTTGCAATAACAATAATTATTTTTTCGAATTGCAACTAACTCTATCTTGATCAAAATTTAATTACAAAACTTTTTTTCCTCTTCCATTTTTGTCTAAAATGAATAGTTGCTAAGTTGTCGACGAGAAATCCAAGAAAAAAATGAATTTTTTTGCTATTTTTTTATACTTTTTTGCAATAACAATTAAGCCCACGTTTTTTTTTATTTGCATAGAAATATTATGATTTCTGATGTTGTTTCGAAGCCGTTAAAGCAAAAATCTCCGATCATATGCGTTTTACCCAACCCAAAACAGATACCGCCTGGACTAATAGAATTACAAGGCTTTAAGTGCAAAAAGAATTATTTCGTGTTTATTATCATTCAAACAATTTTTTAATGATAATGAAGTCTGATTTGCATCTAAAATATAATGATTAATAGTTGTACTAACTTCTCTTCTACATGCCATATGATACTTATAATATACAGTACGTCGCACTCTGTAATTTGAGTTATTTATTGTCTAATACTTCATATTCATATTTTGGTACGTTAATATTGACAGATGTTACCATACAATGTCAAATTTTAGTTAATAAATCATCAGTTTTCAGGTAAAATGGCTCGGCTTTGTCCAAGTTATTTAATTGGACATATTAAATATTTCTTTTAGTTATTAGTACTTAATTATTTCTTCTTATGATTCAGTTTTATATTATTATTAATGTACTTGCGGATGTTATACTTACTGGAATTTAGATTTTGAAAGATATGTAAAAATTTGTTATCTAAAATGTCCATTAACATTCAGTACTGAAGATTTAGAAATAAATAATACTTTTCAAACTATTATCTTTCCCAGTAACAAATCAAATGAGTTTAGACATAATTATTATAATTTAGGTTGCGTGCTGATGCTTACATTTAAAAGTACATATAAAACTGAGTCACGCAATGAAATAAAAATGTCTGTATAAAATTGTTTAATCTAGATATAGTGTGCCCAAGTTTATTACGTTTACCTAGAATACGCGTAATGGACAAACTATACCTACCACCAATCAAACCCAAATGAAAAATAACATAAAACTATGTACAAAACATCTTGTGTGCTTTGTAATCTGTACAGCGGGTGCTTTAATGACTCCAGATAAAATTTGAGAAAAAAGAGGTGTGTCGAGAAGTATATAAGTGATGTGTATATAGTATACATCAGATTTCTCTAAACATCAATTAAACAAAACAATAATAAACAAAAAAGTTTCCTCTAAAAAAACTTATTTACACAAATAAAATAAAAATCAAATGCCACCCCTACCAAATTTTAGAAAAACCCTTACTAACAAAAATTACGCTTACAAAAAAATCATCGACATTGTACTTTGTGTTCACTTGAATATGTATATATTTGTTTCTTATTTATTCTGTAGGAAGTCGTGATGTCGGAAGGGCGTACTTACCTAAATATAAATATAAATAATATGAGAAGGGAAAAGAATACTGCTACATTGTCCATGGTGCGCAACATGACGAACAGTTGCCTTCTCAGGTTTGGCATGAACCTTACTAGTTTTAATATCCTAAGCAACCGAAAAGTTCTTAATACTGACAAGCCGGAGTCCGCGTGAGTCTCGCCAGTGAAGTTTTTGAACAGTTCTATAGCACTGGAAACAAAATTCTTCATGAGATTCGTTAAAACAACAAAATAAAACGAGGAGCATAACGCGACCAAAATTTGTACACCAAGCAATCACTTTTTAGAGCACCTATATCCACGGACATCCATAAAATATCCATAGACATCGTGACGTCCCTGAACATCTATGAACATTGACAGATGTCTGTGGGCATTTATTTCCATGGACATCGATAAAATAGGCAAATATCGTTCTCATATTTATAAGTTTTTGAGAATTCTACTTAGACCAGGACGGATTTTATCTGAGTTTTTTACTTATATCTTGGAACCTATGCATTTTGGAAGAATATTGAAGAGGAAAAAAGTTTTAGAATTGAATTTTGCACAATATACTGTAAGTTAAAAATGTTTAAATTTATTACGAATGTTGCAAAATAGCAATAATTGATGAAAATAAGGCAAGTTTTTTGGATAATTTGTTTTAAAATATTTTAATTGCTCCGAAGGCACTCTAATTTTGGTAAAAAAAACATTAGAGTATAATAAAACACACCAAATTTCATTAAAATGGGTTTTATAGTTTTCGAAAAATAATTTTTTTGAAAAAAATTTTGAAAAAAAATTTCGAATTTTCAAAATGTTGCACAGCCTCAAATAAAGCATCTAGATACTTGAAAATTTTTCCACATAGAAAAGACCGTTCAACGTTTCAAATGATTTTTGAAAAATTGAAATCGGTTGAATAGGACGGCCACAGTAAATTTTTAAAGTTAACATTCTTTTTTTTATTTTTAAATAATTAGATTACATTTATCAACTCGCAATTTAGTTTTTTTCAAAAATTATAATTTTATATTCGGAAAGGCGTTTCTTTAAAACAAAAAAAAAAGTTAAATTCCGTTTATTGGTTCTCAAGAAATAAGCGGTCAAAGTTTATCGGCATATACCGTTAATTTATAAACAATTTAGCAATAATCTTTGATTCAGTGGCTTCGTTTTTTCCGAGTTTTGAGCTGGAAAAAATTTTCATATTCATAAGTTATCGGCAGCATAGATAAATAAACGGATAAGCTGTCTTTCGCACCCGCGAAAAGTGACTCAAAACACGAAAAGTGGGGGAGGGGGCTTTCGCTCCGAGACTGAATTCGGAGGTTCAAAATACGAAGGTACGAAAAAAATTCCATTATTTCAGTTTCTAATGGACGAATTTATTGTTTTTTAATCCGATGTCTCGCAAGCCAAGGAATTCGAATATCGCAATGCCAACTGTCTAATTTGCACATATTTTGTTATAAACAAAATTTATCATTTATGCATTAAATATTCTGTATATTTTACCCTATGCTATTGCATTTTTTCAATAAAAAAATTTGTTTATATTTCAACATTTCGAATATCAATGTATTTAGTTATATAATTATTTAAATCATTTTTGTTAATACAAATTAAAAATATATATTTTTATTTGGAAATTAATTTTTGTCTTAAATACAGATAAAATTAGGAGAAAGTACTACTTTAAAATTAAAATTTTTGAAAAAAACTAAATTGCAAATTGATAAATGTAATCTAATTGTTTAAAAATTAAAAAAAGAGTGTTGACTAAAAATTTACTGTGGCCGTCCGTATCAACCGATTTCAATTTTTCAAAAACCATTTGAGGGGTCTTTTCTATGTGAAAAATTTTTCAAGTATCTAGATGCTTTATTTGAGGCTGTGCAACATTTTGAAATTTCGAAAAATTTTTTTCAAAAAATTATTTTGCGAGAACTATAGAACCGATTTTAATGAAATTTGGTGTTGTTTTATTATACTCTAAAGTTTTTTTTATCAAAATTAGAATGCCATCGGAGCAATTAAAAAAATTATTCAAAAAACTTGATTATTTTGCATTTTTTTCATCAATTATTGCTATTTTGCAACATCGGTAATAAATTTGAACATAATTATCTTACAGTATATTGTGCAAAATTCAATTCTAAAACTTTTTTTTCTCTCCAATATTCTTCCAAAATGTATAGGTTCCAAGATATAAGTAAAAAACATTTTTGCAAAGAACCCCGCACAAAACATGGAAATTGAACACCGGTCAATTTTTATGAAACTTCGTATTTTGATAGTCCTCGTCATGCTGATCAAAAGTCTGAATGGGCACAAAGCCCTACGGGGTTGTAGGGCTTCCAACCCCCCGAAAACCACCCCCAAAGATCAGGGTAATGAACTTGACAGATTACAGGTCAATTGGCTTACAATAATATTTCACTACAGTTGTCGAACCTACAGACACCTATACCATAACTAGGCTTAAGACTATCAATGGGTACCGAGCCCTGCAACCCACACCAACCCCCCAAAACCACCCCCAAAGATCAGGGTAATGAACTTAACGATTACAGGTCAATTGGCTTACCGTAATATTTCACTACAGTAGTCGAACCTACAGACACCTATACCATAACTAGGCTTAAGACTATCAATGGGCACCGAGCCCTGCAACCCCCACCAACCCCCCAAAACCACCCCCAAATGTCAGGGGAATGCACTTGACAGATTATCGGTCAATAAAACTACCGAAATATTTTACTACTGCAGTCGAACATACAGCCACCCAAACTGTAACTAGGCTTAATCTCCAAAACACTTAACCCCCATCCCTGTCGCTCCCCACCAACTACCAAAGCCTGTCATGTGACTTTTCCCTGCTTACTGGTTGTGTAACTGTTTAATCGTGAATTCCATCTCACAGCCACCTAAACGATCACTACTCTACACTCTCCGACGCCGACCACCCTGATCTTTGGGGGTGGTTTAGGGGGGTTGGAAGGGGTTGTAGGGTTTCGTGCTCATTGAGACTTTTGATCAGCATGACGAGGACTATCAAAATACGAAGTTTCATAAAAATTGACCGGTGTTCAATTTCCATGTTTCGTGCGAGGTTCTTTGAAAATGATCCGGACCTCGCCCAGATCTAGGGATCTACACTTTTATTATGTGAGTTGTACTGAAGGTAATCCAGAAAAAAATTGCTTGCCCCCTCTCACATCCACCTCAAAACAGATCCGCCCTGGTCTAACTGGGGTTCACCGCAGGCAGCAAATGCTTTTTTCTGTTATTTTTGTTAAATATAAAACAGTGAACGAATTGAAGTCAAACTTTATACAAAAAGGTTGTTGCTGCTGAAACAGCTTATGGTCAATTTGTGCTTTGTGAAAGAAAATGTGTTTGTTAATTCGTAATAAAATATTGCTTTCAAATAACAATTGCTGACTCTAATTATAGCTAATTACAAAATATAAATCAAAAGGACATCCGGGAATATACGGTTTACCCTTCGAAGCAAAAGTTATCTAAACCAACCTACCTTAAGATAACAATTACACCGTCAAAGACGTTGAACCCGTTGGAAATGTACCCAAAAGGCCCTTCTGCTACCACTTTCAACACCATCTCAACCGCGAAGATAGCGGAAAAAATGATATTCGTCACTTCGACCACATGGGTCAAAATTTCAGACTGCTCATGGTGTTCGATCCCCATAGAGAGAGTGTTTATCAGTATGGCAAGCAGGATCCCATGCTGAAACAACTTGTGTTCCACAAGGATCCTTATGTACCTCCTTATTGTTTTTAACAGTCTAACTATACCCTTCATTACAAGACAACAGAAGACGTAGATCTTGGACCTCTTTTCGTTCTTATATTCGGACTCGCAGTGCCAGAGATCCTGGCAGCAGGAAAAGTCGTCTTCGGGGAGTTGTTGGATGTAGAGTTCTTCGCTGTTCTTCTGTCTGTTGTTGAGTCCCTTCGAAAGGGAATTGAAGAAGGTGTCCAGGACTATTTGGCCGGTAGGTAGGGCTGCGTTTATGGCGCCTAAGGCGAGGAGTTCCTGGCAGGTTAGGGCCTCGCCGTTCATGAGATCGTTGCAGTCCTGTTGGATTTGCTGCTGGGTTTGCAGGAGTTGCTGCTGGTTAGGAACCGAGGTTATTTGCCAGATGTTGCCGTCGCCTGAAACAAATAGGCATGTGTAGAGCTGAAGGTGTAGGATGTAGGCAATTACGGATACTTTTTTTTCAATTATTGAAAATTGTGATTTACTTCTTTTTTTTCATATGTAAATAATCCTACAGAATCAGAATATATATAATGTATTTTTTTGCCCAACGAGAATAGGATCACATTACAAACTCTACGGTAGGCATTCATTTGTTCGACTTCCCATTTGACAAAAATCTATTTTATCATCACTTAGTTTTGACTAACCTCGTATATTTTGATTGCTTCCAAGAGGATTTTTAATAACGGCTCGGGCAATATATGTATACGTCATTGTTTTACCATTTTATAAGATAAATAATAGAAGAAATAGAAATAATCATATACTGTAAACGCACATTAAAAAATTTTTAAATTTCAGTTAATGAGTTTTAGAACATTTAGAAATATTGTTTAAAGAAAGAGAGGCTGTTAACGCATCTATAATATACAGGGTGTATTTAAATGGAGGGGCACAAATGATACCAGNAAAGAACCCCGCACAAAACATATGGAAATTGAACACCGGTCAATTTTTATGAAACTTCGTATTTTGATAGTCCTCGTCATGCTGATCAAAAGTCTAAATGGGCACAAAGCCCTACGGGGTTGTAGGGCTTCCAACCACCCCAAAACCACCCCCAAAAATCAGGGTAATGAATTTGACAGATTACAGGTCAATTGGCTTACCATAATATTTCACTACAGTTGTCGAACCTACAGACACCTATACCATAACTAGGCTTAAGACTATCAATGGGCACCGAGCCCTGCAACCCCCACCAACCCCTGCTTACTGGTTGTGTAACTGTTTAATCGTGAATTCCATCACAGCCATCTAAACGATCACTACTCTTCTTTGGGGGTGGTTTAGGGGGGTTGGAAGGGGTTGTAGGGTTTCGTGCTCATTGAGACTTTTGATCAGCATGACGAGGACTATCAAAATACGAAGTTTCATAAAAATTGACCGGTGTTCAATTTCCATGTTTCGTGCGAGGTTCTTTGAAAATGATCCGNAATAGAAATAATCATATACTGTAAACGCACATTAAAAAATTTTTAAATTTCAGTTAATGAGTTTTAGAACATTTAGAAATATTGTTTAAAGAAAGAGAGGCTGTTAACGCATCTATAATATACAGGGTGTATTTAAATGGAGGGGCACAAATGATACCAGAAATTCCTTGGGTAAAAATAAATCGATTTAACCTAACATACCTATTTCCCAAGTCGCATAATAAAAAAGATACAGGATGTCAAAGTGAAAAATAAAAAATGGTTTTTTCTTAATAATTTCTATAATTTTAGTCAGAAATGTTTCAAATTTTCAAAAGAGAGGTTTTTTAATGATGGGAAAAATAATATAATAATGATTTTTAAGTGTCGAGTATGAGGCGCCCTCTGCAGGCAGCGTTATGCATTGAATTTGTAGTAACTTTTTTGCCAACCCCCGTATACAGCTTTTAGTAACAAAATATGAAATATTGGGCTTTTTTGAACAAAAAAGGTATACTTATTGAAAATGACTAAAGCCAACCGTTGGGGAGATATTTTTAATTTCATAAATTAATGTTACGGATTTATACCTCCACGAATACCAAGGTACAAACAGACACTTTTGTTAATAAATTCAGAACGCATTGCCTCACAGTACTTATTAGTTGTGTATCTGTATTTTAAAATTCTACCAAAAGAGGAAGCAGGAATCAACTGAGACAACATTATTTTTCCTATTTTTTTTACTATACTCTTTTTGCCTCTTATTTTAGCATGTGTGAATACACTTGTTGCATAATTTCTATCTAATTGTTTTTTCGGTGTCTTTATTAAAAAACACATTTTCTTGTGCATGTGAAATTATTTATACCCTGCATTAAAGAAATCTCATATGAAATAACAGTTCAGGTGAAAAAGTAATGCAAAATACTTATTTATTGTTAGTTTAATAACAATTATTAGAAGAAAAAGAGCAAAACAACTAAAACCAAGAGTCACTTAACAACAGTCAATAGATAATTTAAGAGAAACACTGACAATATAAAAAAAACAAGATTTTTTTCTAAGGATATTTTCGAGATAATTTCCATTTTCCTGTAAGCATAGTCTAATTCTACGATTAAAATTACGACGAACTCTTGAAAAATATGTATTCTTTACTTCCTCAGCTGCTGCAAAAATTCTTTGACAAAGCCATACTATCAATAGGGTTGGAATAAACAACATTTTTTAAGTGACCACATAAAAACTAGTCCATGGGTGCGAGATCCGGTGATCGCGCAGGCCATTTGACTGGTGCATCGTTTCCCCGACCTATCCATCTCCCAGGAAAATTTAAATTTAACCATTGTCTAACAGCTAATGTACAATGAGCAGGAGCTCTGTCATGTGCGTAGCACATGTTTTCGCGGATAGCTAGTGGCACGTCTTCAAGCAGTATTGGAAGTTGCTCATTTAAAAATCTCAAATATTCTGGATATCTGGCATGATAAAGTCGTACATCAGCAGTACAGTTCTTGTAACATTAAAAAAATACTTGCAACATATCGACATACTCGTCATTAGTATACATAATTTGTTATTTTATTCAATTCAAAAACAATTTACTATCTAGGCCGCAGGTAAAAAGTGACTAAAATCAATTAACACTGCAATTTACAAGCATTACCAAAAGACATTTACCTACTCGATTTTTTATTTATTCGTAGCAATAATTTATGAATTAAAAATATACCCTCAACGGTTGGCTTTAGCCATTTTCAATAAGTATACCTTTTTTGTTCAAAATAATCCAATATTTCATATTTTGTGCTGTATACGGGGGTTGGCAAAAAAGTTACTACATACTCAATGCATAACATTGCCTGCAGAGGGCGCCTTGTATTCGACACTCAAAAATCATTATTATATTATTTTTCCCATCACTAAAAAACCTCTCTGTTGAAAATTTGAAACATTTCTGACTAAAAATATAGAAATTATTAAGGAAAAACCATTTTTTATTTGTCAGTTTGACTCCCTGTATCTTTTTTATTATGCGACTTGGGATATAGGTATGTTAGGTTAAATCGACTTATTTTCACCCAAGGAATCTCTGGTATCATTTGTGTCCCTCCATTTAAATACACCCTGTATAATTTTTATCATAAATTAATATTTGACGTCAATGGTACCATCTTAAGTGTAACAACAATTGCTTTTAAGAGCACACTTTCTAAACGTATGAAATTATATTTTCTTGATTGTTAGATTTATAAAATATCAAAAGTATGAAGTACTTATACGTTGCTTATAAATTATAATAAAAGAGTGGTGTTATTTAGCTGTGGTTTTAAATTTGTTCCGTTGCTCAAGAATTACATTTGTGATGTTGTCGATAACTTGCTCTAGGTCTAGCTCATTGTTAGACAATTGATTGACCCTTAAGGCCTTCATACTAATTGCAAAATGAATGGGAATATCAACTGTATGATCTTTCTCAATCTAATAGTAGCAAAAAGAAATAGAATTATGTGCCCGGACTCGAATTGAATAGGTTACCAGAATTTAAACAATCGCCTCATACATATACAGGGTGTTTGTAAATAAGTGCGAAATATTTTAGGGGTGTTTATATTATATTTTTTTTTATTAATTATTTCAGTTTTAAAGATACTGACTCAAAATTTGAAAAACGCTTAAGAGGGATAAATGTGCATTTTTTTGGGGTGATCCGAATATTTTTACTTGCATCTTTAAATAAAAGATTAACAGTAGTTACCTACAATACAATTTGTTTTATTTTTTTCCTCAAAAACGGTGCATCCTACGAAAAAAATTGAAGGCACCAATTTCATTCAGAATTGATGGTGGATTTCTAAAGAAATATCAAAACGGAAAATAGTCAGTGGCGTACCATTTTTTTTTATTAAAAAAGGTTGTGGCAATCTCGCACGAACGTCACTGGTACAAGTAGAAATATTCGGATCACCCCAAAAAAGCGTTTTGTTTTTCAAATTTCGAGTCAATATATTTGAAAAACTCTAANCCCTCTTCTTTGGGGGTGGTTTAGGGGGGTTGGAAGGGGTTGTAGGGTTTCGTGCTCATTGAGACTTTTGATCAGCATGACGAGGACTATCAAAATACGAAGTTTCATAAAAATTGACCGGTGTTCAATTTCCATGTTTCGTGCGAGGTTCTTTGAAAATGATCCGGACCTCGCCCAGATCTAGGGATCTACACTTTTATTATGTGAGTTGTACTGAAGGTAAACCAGAAAAAAATTGCTTGCCCCCTCTCACATCCACCTCAAAACAGATCCGCCCTGGTCTAACTGGGGTTCACCGCAGGCAGCAAATGCTTTTTTCTGTTATTTTTGTTAAATATAAAACAGTGAACGAATTGAAGTCAAACTTTATACAAAAAGGTTGTTGCTGCTGAAACAGCTTATGGTCAATTTGTGCTTTGTGAAAGAAAATGTGTTTGTTAATTCGTAATAAAATATTGCTTTCAAATAACAATTGCTGACTCTAATTATAGCTAATTACAAAATATAAATCAAAAGGACATCCGGGAATATACGGTTTACCCTTCGAAGCAAAAGTTATCTAAACCAACCTACCTTAAGATAACAATTACACCGTCAAAGACGTTGAACCCGTTGGAAATGTACCCAAAAGGCCCTTCTGCTACCACTTTCAACACCATCTCAACCGCGAAGATAGCGGAAAAAATGATATTCGTCACTTCGACCACATGGGTCAAAATTTCAGACTGCTCATGGTGTTCGATCCCCATAGAGAGAGTGTTTATCAGTATGGCAAGCAGGATCCCATGCTGAAACAACTTGTGTTCCACAAGGATCCTTATGTACCTCCTTATTGTTTTTAACAGTCTAACTATACCCTTCATTACAAGACAACAGAAGACGTAGATCTTGGACCTCTTTTCGTTCTTATATTCGGACTCGCAGTGCCAGAGATCCTGGCAGCAGGAAAAGTCGTCTTCGGGGAGTTGTTGGATGTAGAGTTCTTCGCTGTTCTTCTGTCTGTTGTTGAGTCCCTTCGAAAGGGAATTGAAGAAGGTGTCCAGGACTATTTGGCCGGTAGGTAGGGCTGCGTTTATGGCGCCTAAGGCGAGGAGTTCCTGGCAGGTTAGGGCCTCGCCGTTCATGAGATCGTTGCAGTCCTGTTGGATTTGCTGCTGGGTTTGCAGGAGTTGCTGCTGGTTAGGAACCGAGGTTATTTGCCAGATGTTGCCGTCGCCTGAAACAAATAGGCATGTGTAGAGCTGAAGGTGTAGGATGTAGGCAATTACGGATACTTTTTTTTCAATTATTGAAAATTGTGATTTACTTCTTTTTTTTCATATGTAAATAATCCTACAGAATCAGAATATATATAATGTATTTTTTTGCCCAACGAGAATAGGATCACATTACAAACTCTACGGTAGGCATTCATTTGTTCGACTTCCCATTTGACAAAAATCTATTTTATCATCACTTAGTTTTGACTAACCTCGTATATTTTGATTGCTTCCAAGAGGATTTTTAATAACGGCTCGGGCAATATATGTATACGTCATTGTTTTACCATTTTATAAGATAAATAATAGAAGAAATAGAAATAATCATATACTGTAAACGCACATTAAAAAATTTTTAAATTTCAGTTAATGAGTTTTAGAACATTTAGAAATATTGTTTAAAGAAAGGAAGGATGTTAACGCATCTATAATATATAATTTTTATCATAAATTAATATTTGACATCAATGGAACCATCTTAAATGTAACAACAACTGCTTTTAAGAGCACACTTTCTAAACTTATGAAATTATATTCATCTTAAACAAGATCTTTTATTTTCCTGATTGTTAGATTTATATTATATCAAAAGTATGAAGCACTTATACGTTGCTTATAAATTATTATAATAATAGAGTGGTGTTATTTAGCTGTGGTTTTAAATTTGTTCCGTTGCTCAAGGTTACATTTGCGATGTTGTCGATAACTTGCTCTAGGTCTAGCTCACTGTTAGACTAATTGCAAAATAATGGGAATATCAACTGTATGATCTTTCTCAATCTAACAGTAGCAAAAAGAAATAGAATTATGTGCCCGGACTCGAATTGAACAGGTTACCCTGATTCTAATCAATCGCCTCATACATATACATGCGGTTTGTAAAAAATAAATAAATATTAAATATTTTAGGTGTGTTTAAATTTTAATTTTTTATTTTATTAATTATTTCAAAGAGTTTTAAAGATACTGACTTCAAAATTTGAAAAACGCTTTGGAGGGATAAATGAGCATATTTTTTGGGTGATCCGAATATTGCTACTTGCATCTTTAAATAAAATATTAACAGAACCTGCAATAGAATATATTTTATTATTTTCCTCAAAAACGGTACATCCTACAAGAAACATTGAAGAGACCAATTTCATTCAGAATTGATGGCGGATTTCTAAAAAAATATCAAAAGGGGAAAAGTCAGTGGCGTACCATTTTTTTATTAAAAAAGTTTGTGGCACTTTCGCACGAATGCCACTGGTGCAAGTAGAAATATTCAGATCACTCTAAAAAAAATGCACTTTTATCCCTCCAAAGCGTTTTTCAAATTTCGAGTCAATATCTTTAAAACTGAAATAATTAATAAAAATAAATTAAAAAGTAAAATTTAAACACTGTATCTCGGAAACGAAGCATATTTCGACCTACGTTTATATGAACTTTTTTCCACAAAATAACTTCGGCAACCACCCCCTAAAATATTTCGGACTTATTTACAAACACCCTGCACAATACTCTTTCATATCAAATGTACTGGAAGCTAAAGAAATATGTCCATAAACAAGCTAGTAATTACTAATTATTTTAAAGTAAAAAATATAAAATATCACAGATAGAAAAAATTTGAAAGCAGAAACCGGGCTATACTTTTCCGAAGGTTTTTGAAATCGAATCTGACAGAATTATTCCATCACGTGAGGTTTTCAAGATGTCCTAACCGAAAATTGCGAAAAATACAGGTTTCCCATACATTTGAACTGATGTTACATCACGAGGTAATTTTCTTAATAAAACTCGTTATTACTTCTGAAAGCACTACTTTGCCCCCTTTAAAATCCACTTTGAATCATTGGAATACCTTCTTTGCTTTCTGAGAAATCGTCTATTCTAGTTGATTAGTTTGATGTATTCGTCGATATTCGGAAATTGAATAGAATCTGGTAAAGATAAAAATATATCCCTTGACTGTAACTACAGAAGAAAAGAGATATTCGAAGATTTTGAAGCGCAAGAAGAGTAGTACCTTCAGAAGTCATAACAAGTTTTGTGGACAAAAAAAACAAAACCTCTAAAACCTGATGTGATGGAGCAATTTTGAGGTAGGATATGGATTTAATCGGAACCCTTCAAGAAATTGAAGCCTGTTTTGTGATTTAGAAGGTAGAGGTCTTTTAATATATCATGAGCCGCGAAATGCGCGAAAGGCGTGGCGTATTCCCATAATTCTTCTATAAGCACGTTGTGAAAACATTGACTCAAAACTAGACCATGTGCATCATTACAAGTAGACATGAACTAAGGCGCTAGGGCATCAATAAAGTCAACTGGCGAACGTTCGTTATACAGGGTGTTCAAAAAAGAGTGTAAAATATTTAAGGAGGTAATAGTATGAACCAAAATAAGCAGAAAAGTCTCAATAAACATGGGTCCGCAAAGTAACGGTTGCGGAGATATGGAATGTTTTATGGTTTTTAGCCCCTTTTTTTATTTTGCAAAAACGTTGTGTATTTTCTTATAATAGTTGGTTGATGTTTAGTGAAATAAACAGTACGTATTTGACAGTTGTTCTCAGTGCACAAGTTTTCTTTCGCTATGGCTGGTTACTCTAACGCAGAATTAACAGACATGCATTTCATGTATGGTCGTGCTAATGGGAACGCCACCGAAGCGCGACGTCTTTATGTTGACGCTTATCCAAATCGCCAGATTCCTTCACAACGCATGTTTGGAAGAATTCACCAAAGATTGCGTGATACCGGTTCCTTGAGCAAACAGTGCCATTTATCCGGAAGACCAAGGTCGGTATCCACTCCTAGAGCAGAAGAAGAAATTCTAGCACTGGTAGAGCAGAATCCAGGTACGAGTGTG